ACTGAAGAAGATTATACGTGCAGGTGATTCGAATTTCACCGCTAGAATTGAGGATGAAATATTTTCATTAATTCTAAAAACGAATTTTACTTTCAAGAGTCAAAATCCAGCCTGTATTCAATCTCTGTGAGAAGCGGAAACATTAGAAAAGAACCCAAGTGGCAAATAAGGCCAACAGTAATCATCGCTAACAAGGCTGTCGATGAATTCCTTTTTTGAGCATTGCTCGAACTGATGGCGATTTTGATTTCATAATATGCGCTAGTACCAATTTTCCATCGAAACAAATGAACGAATAGTTGAATCGAACTCCTAGACTCGTGGCATGGAAATGGCGCCATCTGCCAGCAGAATTTTGCTGTTAAATGATTTTTATGACATCGAAAAGGAAATAAGAAAATTTATTAAATCTTCTATTTCAAAATTTGTAAGGTTTTTTTAAAATCCCAAAATTCATTTGTTAGCAATGGGTAGGGGATCGAAAATTACCATAGAGAAAAATCCATGAAAAATTAACAGAACAAGTCTGGTAGTTTCATGCAATAACTTTTGCAGCTCGGTCCCACAAATTATAAAATTATGATTCAACAAAATTTCGCTGCACCTGGATTCTTTGTTTTGCTTATCAAAGTTTCAGTTACTGTGGAAATTGGTAGGACATGTTCCAATAAGTGCATAAAGTAGCTTATTTCGCGTCATCCTGTAACTTACGTTACGAATTAGCAGAGTTGAGAAGAATCTGGATTCTTTGTTGCTTACTAAAATTTTAGCTTCTGGGCCATAAATTCTGTATAAAAAAATTCGAGCGCTAGCTATTTGTAGGTGTCGTCCGGGCTACGCAGATATATCGAGCTCATTCGAACGGCTGCCTGGCCGACACTGTATTGAAGCGGTGAACGAATGTCTGGATTCGGCGCTGAATGATTGCTCCGAGAACGCCATTTGTGAAGATGCCAAGGAAGGGTATGTGTAAAGGAGATGATTTTTGCCCACTTCAGGCCAGGCTCAAACGCATGATGCAGCTGCGCTAATGTCTTTTTCGGCAACACATATAGATTGATTTCTGGCTTTTATGTCTAGACAAGTAGATGCCGTAGGATTTCAAGGAACCTAAAGCGCAAATCTACCACTATGCGAAAAAATCGTCGCAACTCTGAGCTTATCCACGAAAAATACGGCGATCAGAAGTTGTCAATCGATGGTCAATTTTTAACTTTCACAGATTTTTTTTGGTGAATATTGCAAGCTCCCAGTGGGAAAATCGTGATGAACCAACAAGATTTTTGATACACAAAAAGTACTTGAAACTTTTTTCTGTTGAGACTCATAGCCTGGTTCTCCAGCTACGCAGCTGACAACTTTTCCAGTTGTTTTTATCAGTGCTCTATCGTCTGCAGTCAGTTTGTTGGCGATCTTGACACTCCTTTGGTTTCCCGAAAAAACCATGAGCCCAAGAGTTTCCTGAAAAAATTACGAGCTCAGCTGTTTTCCAAATATATGTGTATGTTTGTTCATTTCTAAACAACATGCCTAATTTTAGCTACATTTGCACATGCCGACAAGGTTTCGTGGATGCATCCCCAAACATCACTCATTATCCTGGACGTGTATGCCGTAAGCCAAAGCAAGAGAAGCAGAGCGATACCATCGTTGGTGCTCAGAGCAATCTGGATAGCTGCGATCCGAAGAAGCCAAAATGTGGCAGCAATGAAGTGTGCAGCGATCGTAAAGCCCGTGGTCAATTCATCTGTGAATGTGCTGAAAATGCTTTCCGCTTCAAAGATGGAACATGCCGATGTGAGTTGTTCGATTCCTTTACGAAATGTCACCTCACTTTCTAACGTATGCAAATTTTGTCGGTGAAATGTTAAAGTGATCAATGAGTGGAAGCTAAAACGAGGTTTTTTTTTTTCACTTTCTGTTCAGATTATCAGCCCAGCGGTCCTCTGAACAGAAGCAGTTGGCGTTTTTAGATATCCTTGGAAGAATTCTACCACTTTAAGATTGCAGTGAGGAATTCTGAAACTGATAGGGTCATCTATTTATTAAAGCTTATATAAAGAGATTGTAGATGAATTGCTGAGTATGAATTTAGAAACCAAAATGGAGCTACAGTCTAGGGGCTGCCAATTATGCAAAGGAACTGTAAAAAATTCTGGATGAATTGTAGGCCAGAACATTATTCAGAGTCCGATAGGATCTCATAAACTAAAAACTGTTTTTTTCGAAGTGTGTATATGAGATTCTGGATGAATCGCGGGCAAAAATTTTAATTCCAAATGTCTTCTTTCTTTCAGTCTATGCCGCATGTGTTGGGGAAAACGACTGTGACAAGAATGCCGTTTGCGCAAATGCATTTGACACATACAAATGTCAGTGTCGTCCTGGATACATTGATATATCGCCGGATCCGGAACGAAAACCAGGAAGAGTGTGTAAAGAATGTTGGTTTCTCCCTAAAAATTTTACAAATTTTTTAAAATTAATAAGGTCTCAAACTTCCGTTTTTGAGGCTTTTTTTAATTTCAAGAAAAACCCCTCAAAAATTTTTCGAAATTTTACAGATCTTTTTAAAGTAAATCAATTGGCAGGTTTTAAATCTTCAAGTACCGGATTTTAATGAGACTTTTTCCAATAAAGGAAAAAAGATCCTAGAAAGTGCCATTTTTTAATGCAACTGTTTGCTTTTACAGTGATAAATGAATGTGCGACGAGTGCACACGACTGTTCACCGTATGCGACTTGCATCGATGCAACAGATGGCTACATGTGTATTTGT